GTTGTGGAAAATAACAACTTTATGCCTAACTTATCCCATAAAAAATGACACAAAAATTTTATATCTTTATGTGACACCATGCTCTTAGGGATTCCATGCAAACGTGCTACCTCTTTAAAGAACAAATGCTCTATGTGTGTAGAATCTTATGTTTTGTGACATGGTATAAAGTGCGCAATTTTACTAAACCTATTTATTACCACAAAAATTGAATCGATTGAAATGTCGATCCATGGTTCACTAGGTTTAGGTAATGACGTATAAAGTCCCTGGGGTAAAACTCTAGACTTAGCCCTTTTGCAATAAATGCATCGATTACAATTTCTCTCAATATCACTTTTTATCTTAGGCCAATATTTCTAAAGTTTTTTGTACCCCAAAGTGCCCACCTCTATGTGCTTCCCTCACTAACAACTCTCGCATTGAATAATTAGGAATACATAACTTAATTTTTCTAAACAAATATCCCTCATGCTTATTAAGGTGCGTTTGATTGTAAGCATAGAATTTAATTGAAAGAAAATAAATTCTGGACAATTCAATTGTCCAGAATTTATCTGTATGAAAATTGATAATTAAATATGTTTGATTGATTAGTTTTCAGCTTAGAAAAAATTATACTTGTCCATATTTAATTGGTAGATAGATGAGAGAGAAAGAGATAGTAAATTATTTAGAAAATAAAAACCACCCCTCCCTAAAAAAATATTTTCCTTGTTTTTTAGGAAAATATGGTCACGTTATCAAAAGTTGAAAAATATTTTCTATGGAAAAAAAAGTCAATCAAATACCCCAAAAGTAGAAATTTAGATGAAAAATAATATTTTTCATGAAAAATAAAACTAATCAAACACACTATAAATATCACTTACCATCATTTATTATCACACTTGCATCAATAACTTTCTCTTCATCATGTTCTTATCTTTAACATTTCATTGATCATAAAATCTTGTCATTAATCATGATTTTTATCCCAAAATATTGTTAACGTACTTTAAAACGGGGTCAAATATTTAATCCTATTTTTACATTATTATTTATTTTGTTTATTTATAAATAAAATAAGCAAAATGAGTCTTTTTATTCTATTTTAAAGAAAATTTTGGAGATAAACAACAATCAGGAACAATTTATGCTAATTTGAGAATAATAATGCGATGAAAAAATTTTGAGATATAAATGGGATAATGTGATAAATTTTTCACAAATTTTGATAAATTTTCTTTATTTTTTAATTATCCATTCATAAATAAATAAATAAAATTTGAATAATCACTTCTCTAAAAAATTTTACTAAATAATCATCAAATAAAAGTGAAAAAAATATTTTCATGGACTCAAATTCAAAACTGGCGACATCATCATATTTTATATGAAAAGGGATTTAAAGAATCACCTTATATAATCATTTTCAATTACGAAAAAAAAAAAAAAGAAGCCTTTACGTAACTTTTTCCTACTCTTAATCACATATTCCTTAAAAATCACTTTTCAAAAATTATTTCCACACAACCACTTAGGATCCATTTGATTGCAAGAATGGTATTTGGATTAAAAGAAAATGAATTGCAGGGAATTAAATTACCTAGAATTTGTTTTTGTGGAAATTGTCAATTAATAGTGTTTGATTGGTATAATTTTACACCTGAAAAATGTTGAAATAAAAGTATCTTTTAGTATTCGTTTGACTTTATTTTTCATGAAAACTGTCAATTTAAAGGATATCATCTTTTATAATCATTCATAAAATTTGTTTCCGTTGCTAAGAAAAAAAAGATGGAAAACAAAAAACCACCAAAGTGGTAGGAAAACCAAGAAATGGTAACCGAGTGGGGCAAAGCAAGAATTCCATTTGCCAAGAAAATTTTTGCTATCAAACAAGCAAAAGGTGGAAGATGGAATTCCTTTTTTATTTTCTATGAAAAAAATGGTGTATCAAACATAACCTTAATATAACAATCAATTTTGTGTACGGTCATGTTCGATCATACCTAATCAAAAATTCATTTTTTCTCTGTGTCCAGTGATGTTTGATCCTACTTAATCACATACAGGGGCGGATGCAAACATTTTACATTAAGGGGTCACAATCAAATTTTAAAAAAAAAAGTGATGGATTTTTTTATTATTTTATATGGGTTATAAACTGTTATACTACTTTTTCATCTTTATTATTTTTACATCTAAAAACTTTATATATATGTGTAAAAAAATCGATCATTTTTAGGATTTTTTTTATTATTGTTACTTTTTCCTCTCGATCAATTATTATTTTTTAAATAGTCTAATAAATTTTCTAACAAAATTTTTGACGTCATTTGAAAAAAAAAATTAATTGATCGAGAGGAAAATGTAACAATAATAATAAAAATACTAAAAATGATTGAATTTTTTTATATATAATTTTTTTTAGTTATAAAAATAATCAAGATGAAAATGTAGTATAACAATTTATAATCCCTATGAAGTATAAAAATTTTATTAAGAATTTTTACGTCCAAAAAAATAAAATTTGACGTCATACCACATATAAATTTTTCTAATAAAATGATGTAAATTATATTGTGAAATTTGTCGCGCAAAAATAATAAACATTAATAAAAGAATTGATTTTTTTTTCAAGAAAGATGAGTTATACGTCTCTTTTTAGCATACACTTTTGACGTACGTTTAAATATTTTCGATATTCATTTATATCATTCGATATGATTATGATATAGTTCTCGAAATGAGTTTCGAAAGTGTATAAAAGATTTATAGATAAGGCTAGCGTATAATTGTTGAAGAATTTTTATAATTAGCTTGTTATCGAAATTCTCGAAATATTAGTTTGAAACTGCCTATTTTGACGCGTTGTAACATTTGCTACGATTTGCCATTTTGCACACCATTAACGACGTGAAATACTAAGTCATGAGTACTTCAAAATGATATTAAAGATGTAATATTTCAATTTCGTTTGATATTTCATAGTGAATCCGAAAACTAAGACAAAAAAAAAATTGAAAAAATTGGAGGGTCAAGTGACCCTATGGGAACCCTCTTGGGTCCGCCCCTGATCATATACATTAATAATAGCTCTCTCTATGATACTTTGTGAGCATAGTAGTTATTTGAGATTTTTTTTAAATATGATGGCTACAATATTTGCCTCGTAAATGCCTTAATCGCATGAGGTATCCAGGATTTTCAATGTCACGTACAAGGGAGTAGAGCGTCATACTCACTTATCAGTTTAAACTGCACAAGAATAATATTACTTGTACATAATGAAATTACATAATATTTTATATATATACAAGAAGTGTCAAAAAGATGGTGGAATTTTTATTTATTTTTTATTTGTTTGGGAAAATTCTGACCCAGTTATTTCTCTTTACATAATGTGTATGTAAGTCATTATATACATGTAGCACAATTATTAATTCCAAACTAGTATATATATTAATTAATAAAAAAATCTGATTTTTTAAAAGAGTAAATTTAGTGTGTGATTAATGAAATAGAATGTTTAAATGTATTAGTTTATGTAATTTTCACTTTAATTTAATGGGGCCAAACAAGGGTTATATTTCCATAATTCTAGAGACAAAAGCAGATCTGATGATCAAGACGAGAAGGCATGATCTATTTTAAAATGTCATCAAATTTGTCAATTATAAACTCTTCGTGAACTCCTCTTTTAAGTATTGTGGCCTAATATTTATTTTGTGTTTTTTGTGTCAATTACAGACTAGAAGCTTCGGTATGAACTTCTCTCAGTGTCGTTTCTATTGAGCCGTGTGAGTTGGGCTAATATATATATTTTTTTTTGATATCCAGGTATTCCATCTTACACCAAACTAAATCCTGGACCCTCAAGACCCTTGCCCCTAAAACTTTAAAGGGGTTAAATCACGGGTTATGCTTCAACTGGATCACAGGTTCCCCTCATTACTTATACACTTCTGCGCACAAGAGACCCTCCTCCACAGTGATTGCTACATACCAACTATTTGGCAGCAGGTTCCCACCAGGAATCGAACTCTGCACCCTGCCGTTGGAAGCAAGACAATGTTGATTGATCCACCAGTTGAGCTGTGCCCCGAAGGGCGAGTTGGGCTAATATTTGATTTTATTTTACGTTGGGCTTGGTTTTATCCCAATTCTTGAACCATTGGACCATTGAAGCTTTGTTATCATTTATTATAAAAACATTTACTAAATTTAAATTTTTTTTATATTAAATTTAATTAGCTGTGTATAAAAATTAAATTATTTTTCGTAGTATTTTGTTATATAACTACAATTTCCTTATAGATATTCATAAACTCTAGGTAGCTCATAATGCCAGCCAAATTTATTAAAGTGCTCACTTGTTCTTTGCTCGATATATTCTAACAAAATATTCATAAGGTTTATTAGAAATTATAAGATGTATAAAAAATTATTTCTCGAGATTTCACGAAAAAATACACTATATATAAATGCATAAATATTGATTAATTCTATCTAATTCGACTTACAAAACATTATAAAAAAAATAAAAAATAAAAAAACTTTACAATATGTCCCTGTTTGGTGGAGATTAAAATAAAAAATTTAATAAAAGTTAATGAAATATATGATTGAAAAGTTGTGAATCCCCTCAAATAAATTGTTAAAATTAATTACTTACTTTGACTTAAATTGAAATTTTAATTTTAATTTGTACCAAACATATATTATGAGCCTGTTTGGGCCTCATTTTTTCATTCAAAAAATTGATTTTTTGACCGTTATTTCACTATTTTAGCCAATATATTTGACTTCTTCTCTCACAGGTGGATCCCACTTTTCTCCTAACGTTCAAAAAATTAATTCTCAAAATCACTCCCAAATAGACTCTATAAATAATTTGGTAATTACATTTTGCTTATTGCTTTATTAGTTTCGAAAATCCTTATGAAAAAAGAACTTGAATGCACTCAATGGTTTGAGAGTTCAACTTTTGAAGTTACACCGAGGTTCGAAAAATCTCAGGTTTGACTTTAGTAGTGAAGATTATCCACTGCAAATTCACTATAAAATTTAATAATATAATTGATACAGTGATTGAACATTATCAAATAAAGATAGGATCCATTTGTTGGGTATTCTCAATGTCATTATGCAAATCTTTCAAAGAGGGCTATAGAAACAAGAAATTCTTTTCTTTTTCCATGCAAGAAGATATACCAATAACTCCATGCACAAGAAGAATACCCAAATCTCTTCCTCCAAGAAAACAGATGAAAGACCTTCTCAAACACCCGGAAAAGAACCATCTCAAACAAAGGTATATCTAATTTCGAAGAAATCTGAAGCACCAATGTATGAAGGAACACGAAAATTCACGACCACACAATATGTTTGTTTAAATGCCCCATAGAACTCATTTTTGTACAACATATTCTATAAAACCCATTTATATCCCATATTTGGTGAGTATTAACTTGTAAGGATCTTAATTTTTTGATTGAGATCATTTTGCTAACATTTTTTTTATTTGAAAACAGAAACTCTGTCAGCAATTAGAACGAAGACAAATTAGATGGATTCCAAGATGGGAGCTGCAGAAAATTATCAAATGACTTATTTTCAACCAGCAAGTGAATTGACACAGAATCCAGATTCCGATACTCTCATTTTAGATGTGGCTGGTGTGTTCCTTATAAGCTTTTGATTTCTAAATTGCATTTTAGTCATTCTTATTGCCAGATCCATTAATCCATCTGAAATATTGTTACTGAATATCATCCTCTCAAAGATGAGTCAAACTAGATCAGATTCTGTGTTGTCCAGTCGAGCATACTACATACCAGACATGACATGCTCTTTTTCTTGTTTGATTTTTTCATTGCTATACTAGAAGAATTCCCCAGAGAATTTCTTGTCCAAACACTGATGTTAACCTGTTATTGAATGGGTTTAGCGGTAAATATTTACCATTATATTAATAAATCTGTTAGTAGGGGACGGAATAAAATCTGGTGGAAAACATTTATATTGAAAGTTATACAAGTTTAACGAGCTCCGTGTTCTTTATTTATAGTCAACTTTGAAAACTGATAGCATCTATTTAGTTACTATCATCAACTGATCATGATTGTATAAAAAATGATGGATGCAATATTATCCATTTTAATCTCTAAAACGAAGTTATGGAATGCCTAAGTAAATAATATTCTACAGGGCTTAAAAAAGACCAGTTGCAAGTTCAAATAACTCGTGATTCAATCCTAAAGATCACTGGAGCACGGCAACTTGAGGATAACAGGTGGATCGGTTTTCGTGAGGATTTCCCGGTTTCACAAAATTGTGATACCAAAAAAATCAGTGCAAAATTTGTAGACGGCATGCTGTTTGTGACTATGCCAAAACTGATTAGTCCAGAAGAAAAAGAAGACAGAAAACTGCCTACCTCAGAAACCCAAAAACCTCAGAAGCCCACAGAGGAGCCAATGGACACTCCAGAGAAGAATCGAGAACAAGCCAGCCTAAAAACCTTGGCAAGTGATGATCAAAACAAGCAGAATGGTACCAAGAATATTCCTGAGGAATCACATGTGGAGGAAGAAACAAAAAGCCAAGAACAAGCCGGCAAAAAGACCTTGGGAAAAGATGATCAAGAAAAGCAGACCGATGGCAAGAACGTTCCCGATAAATCACTTGAAAGGGATCAAACAGAGTCCTCAAACGTGAAAAGTCAAGAACAAGCCCATGAAAAGCCCTTAACAAGCGATGATCAAAACAAGCAGACTATTGCCGAGAATGTTGCTGAGAAATCCCTTGAGAAGGACAAAACAGAATCCTCAAATGTGAAAAGCCAAGAACCAGACCGCGAAAAGACCTCTGCAAGTGAAGATCAAGACAAGCAGAATATTGCCAGGAACGTTCCTGAAAAATCAATTGAAAAGAAAGAAACAGAGTCCTCAAATACCGATAATAAAAATGTCATAGGTCCTGCAGGAATCTTGAAGATGGCAAGCCAAAAGATGATCTTGGTTCTGTTTATTCTGTTGGCTATTCTTATTGCCCTTTATGTTAGTAATCTTATTTGGTATTCCAAAAAAGCTGAGAATTGAGGGTCGTTCATTTTGTAAATAAATTATGTAACAATTCAAAGAATAATGTACTTTCCATCTGATTGAAGGGAATAAATAATAAATAGAATTTGATAGTGCTCTTCATAGACTATAAGCAAAATATGTTTTGCATCTTTCGGTACATAGAATGATGTGTATCGTTTCTGATGAACAGATTTATAGACTCGGTTGAATATGTTGGGAATAAGACTTCAGTGTTGTTATACTTTTACCGTGATATAGAAAGTCAACTACGTGGATGTTTGAGTTAGAAAGTCAACCATAGTAGTGAATAATGTTTTTTATTCTTATTTTTGGGGTGGGGGGGGGGGGGGGGGCCTGCCATAGAAGGTGATATTTCTCTTGACCTTGCCATTCTGAGCTCGTGCATCGTAACTCTCCTTGACGAGGAAAGTAGACAGGCTAAGCACTACTAAATTGTCTAAAAGCATGTTGAGCTCACTAACAAAAAAAATTCTACTGATGAAGACTTCAGGAGAAATTAGTATCGATAAGTTGTAAGAAAACCTATTAACCAAATTCTAAACTAATGGAAACTCAAATAAATAATGAGGTTGTCACAATATCAATTAAAGTAATAGGAAAAAAATGCATGTGTAAGAGATAATTCAATATAATTGATCGTGGTGACGATCTAACAAGACCCTATAAATATAAGATATCTAAGTGTCGACTCCGATTGAATAGATTATAAGAACTACAAGCAAATTATTTGCATAACATCTCCAAACCATCTAAGTCCCATCAATAGTCAAATTTTAAGAACAAATACAAATCTTGTCGAGTTATGTCCAATTCTATATTAGTTGATTCAAATTCTCATAATTTTTATTGCTTTGACCGTGTAGTCGTCTTTGATATCATGTACCAACCATAATCTATTTAACGAATCGTCCATCCAAATCTAAGATAAATAAATTTAGAATATTCTAATTCTAAATCAACTTAAAAAGTCATCAAATATTTCTCAAGAAAAGTCTTCTTTTAATTTGTCTGTATTAATCACGTGCTAAAAACTGTGGCAATGTCGTTTTCACTAATTACTATTACTCTACATAAAATAATGCAAATTGCACTTTGGAAAGAGGGATAAAGTAAAGAAAAGTAAACTAAAAAGGGTCTATATACAATGGAATGGGATTACTTAGTGATTTGACGAGACCAAAATAAAGGTGTATAATAAAGTTATGATCTATATTTTTTAATGAAATATAACTATTTTTGTGCAAAGAAGAATTACTTTTCACAAATCGCTGTAAGAGTTGCTTAAGAACTTATTCCAAATAAGAGAATAAGGAATTTGATGGTTGTACACCGAATTGTTAGGAATTTGATGGTTTTACCCCTTACAAAAAAGGGGGACTCGCATCCAATAAAAAATCACTGGCCCGTCTCTTATGAGGAGTACTGTCAAGCTCGGTGTACGAGTATCACACTCAAAGGATAATTACTTTTGAAAATTTTGTGTGTCTGATGCAAGGCGAGGCAGGAAAGAATTGGGTTAACCTGGACATTTTTCACATTCAGTCAGACTTACTTAACGTGGCTGTAGTTAATTAATTATTTTCCATTTGGCATAGTTTTATCAAGTGCCAAAACTGTTCCTCTCCCATATTCTACCCCATTAATACTGTTCATATTATATTTTACGTTAATAGAATAAAATATATACATATCCATATAAATCTCTCTCTCTCTCTCTCTCTTCAGAAATCTGAAGGGTCAATATTCTGCGGAAGGTGAGAGTTGAAACAGGGCTTCTCAAGAATACTTTAAGGTGAAACCAAACCAAACTTCCTTAATCCCTTTTAGTTTTAATTATTTTCTGTTTTTTTCCTTGATAGAAGTTGGCTTTTTTTTTTGTGGTTTTTCTTGCCTTTTTGATTTAAGTTCTTGATGATTACGGATGATATGTCTGTATATGTAATTTGTTCGTGGATTTAGGTTGGTTTTTTTTTTTTTTTTGTCATTTTTTATATTTATTTATGTTTTTCTTAAAGAGAAATCAACGTTTTTCAAGATTTAATTATTTTTGCTTCTTTAAATTGTAATTGGTTATTAACTCTAGTTTTCATGAACAGAAAATGGATGCATTAAAGTTATTTATTAATCTCGTGCAAAACAAAATTTGAGTATGGATCTGTGAAAATTACGTTAATTTTCACTAATTTTCCTAGGAAATTTGTCAACTTTTATTGCCATTTTTCCTGGAATTAAGTTTTAAGATTATTTTTTTTTTACTCTGGTTTGACTTTTATTGTAATCTACTTAGATCTGATTTTATTTGCTCATAACAGCTTTTTAATAAAAATATGCTTAAAATCAACTTTTTAGCTTCTTCTTTTTTTCGAATAGTTGTCTATATATGCACATAGATTCTCAGATTTTAAGGAAAAAAATCCTAGTTGAGATTGTCTCATTTTCTTTTCTTTTTTTTTGTCTCATTTTCCCTTGTATCTATGTTTGCAGGTGGGAACAGCATGGTATTTAAGTGATTCCTAATTCATCTTTTGCTAAATCTTGTGTTTTTGCGAAGACAAACGGCACATTTAACGACTTCGAAGCTTTTGTGTCGACCTATCTGTTATGATGATGTTTGATGATATGGGGTTTTGTGGTGATTATGATTTCTTCTCGTCTGCTATTCCGAAGGAAACCGATGTCTGTGGCCCGCAACCAGTCGAGCAAGAGCCGGTCGTAGAGGATGATTATACTGATGAGGAGATGGATGTGGATGAACTTGAGAGGAGGGTGTGGAGAGATAAGATGCGACTCAAAAGACTGAAAGAAATGAATAAAGGTAAGGAAGGTGTCGATGCTGCTAAGCAACAGCAGTCTCAAGAACAAGCGAGGAGGAAAAAGATGTCGAGGGCACAAGATGGGATCTTGAAATACATGTTGAAGATGATGGAAGTTTGCAAAGCTCAAGGCTTTGTTTATGGAATTATTCCTGAGAAGGGCAAGCCGGTAAGTGGGGCATCAGACAATCTACGGGAGTGGTGGAAGGATAAGGTACGATTTGATCGTAATGGACCGGCTGCCATAGCAAAATACCAAATGGAGAATGCAATCCCGGGGAAGAATGAGGGGTCAAATCCTGTTGGTCCGACCCCTCATACATTGCAAGAGCTCCAGGATACAACCCTCGGTTCACTTTTGTCTGCTCTCATGCAGCACTGCGATCCCCCTCAGAGGCGGTTTCCATTAGAGAAAGGTGTTCCACCTCCATGGTGGCCCACGGGGAAGGAGGAATGGTGGCATCAGCTGGGTTTGCAGAAGGATCAAGGTCCTCCACCGTACAAGAAGCCGCATGATTTGAAGAAGGCCTGGAAGGTTGGTGTTTTAACTGCCGTGATCAAGCACATGTCTCCCGATATTGCTAAGATCCATAAACTTGTGAGGCAGTCAAAGTGTTTGCAGGATAAGATGACTGCCAAGGAAAGCGCAACTTGGCTTGCCATCATTAACCAGGAGGAAACTTTGGCTCGAGAGCTCCACCCCGATCAATGTCCACCTTTGTCGTTGTCTGGAGGGAGTGGAACTTTTACCATGAATGATAACTGTGAGTACGATGTTGAAGGGGTGGATGACGAGTCTCCCTTCAATGTTCATGAGCAAAAACCCAACCCCATTGGTTTATTGAATATTGGGATGGAGAGATTCACTGATAGACTGCTAGTTCAACAGCAATCTCATCCAATGAAGGATGAATTTATTAACAACTTGGACTTCTCGAGGAAGAGGAAGCTGGGAAATGAACAGAACACCGTGATGAATAATAAGATATATACGTGCGAGTTCCTTCAATGTCCTCAGAGTGATCTCCACCATGGTTTCTTGGACAGGATTTCCCGGGACAATCATCAACTTGCATGCCCATATAAACATTCTTCGGAGTTTGGGAACTTCAATATTAATGAAGTGAAGCCAGTCTCCTTTTCTCAATCACTTGTCGAGGCCAAGTCAGCTGCCTTGCCTGTACATCCAACTCCACCTCCCATCGATCTTACAGGACTTCCGGAAGACGGGCAAAGAATGATTAACGAACTCATGTCCTTTTATGATGATAATATTCAAGGGAACAAGAACTCAAATCCCGGGAACTCTACAGTTACAAAGATGCAGTCTCTTCAGTTGCCGAGCATTCAGTGTCAACAGGGTAGCTTCCTTCACAGTCAAGGAATGGCTTTGCCGGGTAATATTTTTGAGGAGACAAACATGTCCACCAATCATCCTATATTCCGCACAGCTGAAGATCGATTCAACCAGTGCAAGATTGGAAATTCTCCCTTCAACTCCAGCCCTAATGAGAATTTCCAACTGATGTTTAGTTCTCCGTTCAATATTCCGTCCGTTGACTTTATTGAAGGTTTTCCTAGTGGTGCAAAGGATAATGTGCCAAAGCAGGACTCTACGATTTGGTATTAAGACGATTGACAGATCAAAGAATTCACATACACAATTATGATTCTCATTACGGTATTGTTTTTACAAGTATCCAGTAGTAGATGCTCATGGTGTGAACAAGAGTTAAAATATTGTACATTGTACTGTATTGTCGAGTCGAGTCGAGTACGGTGTACTAGACGTACCAATTTAGTCATGATTGTAATAAGCCAAGGATACGGTTCTCTGAAGGCATTTTACACATGCGCTGCTAAATGGTAGACTTGTAGACATAACACAAATAAGGTTAGTTTTCTTTTGATTTTTGTGTCTCTGTACTTGTGAAATTAAGGTTTGATGTGTCTATTGTGGTAACCAGTTAATGTAATGAATTTTTCTTCTTGCACGGCAAACAACCGGCCAATAGGGGCGCGCCATGTAGCCCTCTATTTGCACAACTCCCTGTCCATGTAGCACGCCTCTAATGTAATGTGGTGGCTGTATTTTGTTGACTAAAGATTGTCTTCTTATGGACATCTCTTTGTAATTAGTACAAGATGAAAGTGAGTGGTTGGTTCCAAGTTCATTCAAGTCTTGTTATTGACGTTTGGCTGGCATATGCTGTTGACAAACTGGTTAAAGAGGTTAAAGTGGACCGGCGGCTCGGTTGGATGGGCGGGCCATGACGAGACTTTATTTAGTCCTTGAACACCATTTTTAAAATTTATTTTTCCTCGTACTTATTTGTATTTATACATTCTCTCAACAATATAATTTTGAACTCAAATTATTTTCCTACTTTTTAACCATTTATTCTTCAAAAAAAAAAAAATTATTTTTTATAAAATCTATTCTCAAAATAATGGTTTCAAAGAGGGACTCGGTACTATGGAATTGAACATACGATGGTTTTATAAAATATATTTTTTTTCTTTGTCTATTATCTTTAAACTTTGACAAGACAGTTTAACATAATAGAAGTTGGTTCTCAATTTTACTTGTTTACGCTATCACTTATCGATCTTGAAAAGTTAAATTTGATGTACAGATTGTACAAGTATGATATGCTAATCCTAAATTCTACTTAATATGTAGTAATTTTTTTTTATAATGATCACATTTAGTAGAATTTACGATTAAACTTTTCCTCGTAAAATTAAGCCCCCGTTTGGCCTCCATTCTTTACAAATTTTAATGGTTGGAATAGTGTTTTTTGAAAAATGTGTGGTTGAAAATGTTCAATTGACTATAAACTAGCTAACCAAGTCGTACCGCACAGTTGAGTCACAACATTCTAGCACTTCTTCAAAACCGAACCCATATCAACTGATATTCTTAGTTAGTTAAACGAAACTACATTTTCTGTTCACAACGACCGTCAATTTAAAAAGTTACTTATTTTAAACGAGTCCAAACATGATCTATATCAAATGAAATCTGCCTTTAAAGTCGACCGGTGAAGAATGAGTATCTAAATAGTTATAAACGTATAAACCAAAAATTTTAATTAACGACGTGAAACTCAGGAGTGTCGAATTATCTACAAATAAAGAATAGTAAGTTGTCAATAGGTCATTGGGTAGTCTGATTGGACAACTTGTCCTCATCCATTGGTCCAGATAAAGTTTGCAAACTCCAACCAGCCGCCCCTTCCACAAAGAACAATAAAAAAATATCAGATTCAGGGGATGATAATAATAATAATAATTATGGCGTGCTCGTGAACATGAACCTAGCATATGTTTTGTCAACAAGCAAGTGTAGCTCATTGGTTTGTTACTTTGTTATTATTTTATTTTATTTATATATTTTAGGCTTTTCCACCAATTTTTACACGCGTTGATTGATGCATATAGGAATGTCATTTTCTTCTTTAGACCTTTCCAAGAAAGGATTAAGGAAAAAGTGGTAAAAAAAATATTTGATTTTGTGCCCCCAAATTAGTGAGGATTTTTGGGAAATATTTTTTTTTTAATTTTTACGTGATTTTATTGAAAAATATTGTTTCCTTATTTTCACTTGATTTTATTGAAAAAATATCATTTTCTTAATTTCACATTATTTTTCATATTATTTCCATCTTTATAGTATGATATGTATATATAAATAGTGGTCTCTTTATTTAATTTTGTTTAAACAAAAATTGCTGTATTGTAATTTTCTCTGTATATTATTATAATAAAATATCGTTTCCTCTG